TATAATTAAAAATAACAATCAGTAAAATAAATAGCAAATAGAGATTTAATTATTAATATTGCATTGTTTACCAACCGAATTCATGCAAAATTTTTTTTTGCAATACAATTATTGATACATAACGCTGATCAGTTAACCTTATACATACGTCTATTTCTATTCTGTAGAAAATGTCGAGTTCTAAAGCTTCAGGATTTCTTTTAAGCCTCCCTATTGAGATTATTGTAGAAATTCTTGGGCATACTAATCTGGAGGATATTTGTTCTATCTCTTTGGTAATGAAACTTTTGATTTCTATTAGTTTTAGATAGGTTCTCATAATTTTTATGTTGCTTGTTCAATAAATAGGCGAATAGAAAATTTTATAAAATTTTTCAGGAGGACTATGTCTGGCAACAAATGTGTAAAATTCAATATCCCGAAAGTAGGATTACAGAAGCACAACAGGATCTGGATGAAAATGGAACTTTGAAGCAAGTATTTACCTCTATTCCGGAATCTAAAACAGGTGAAAACCATTATAATTTTCGAAAATCTCGAAACACTTTAAGTAATATATAATGTTCTGTCAAGTTCAAATTATGTATTATTTTCTAAAAAGAAAATTCTATCCAGCTGCATCTTTAAGATCGTTACACCCGCACAACGAACAGGACGCAGAGTCAAGTACAGACGTTTCTCCGCCAACAGAAAATAATGAAATGGAATGGATGGTTTTGTATAAATATCTATGTGATTATTGTTTTCTTTTAAATTATTTTAATACAAAATTAGGCATCGAGGTTTCTTATTATTGATAGAGAAATAACAATTAAATTTAGCAAATCCAATCAGTTATATTGCAAAAGAGAAAGGTGTTACTTGGTTGGATTGTCGTGATGGACCATTTTTTGATCGATGTCATTGGGAAACAGAAATTGGAGAAAGGTGCATTTTATTTCGTTATTATAGTATGGTCGTCAATGCATAATTTTTTAACCTCTTATGGTTGCAATAGTGCATATGGAAAAATAGTTCACCTCAATCATGTGTGGTGGTTTGATGTAGGTGATCACATATGATTCCATTTCTTTTACACTTACAATTTACCTATTACAATGTTTGAATTACCATTTATCTGATTCGTATTAACAGGTAATAGCGACGCTGAAATGCGTTCAGCCTGGAACGTTTGATGTTGTCTGGAAATTCAAGGTTGATGGATTAAACTTTGGCTTAGATGATTTAAATTTTAAGACACAAGTTCTAGCCAATGTAAGTTCCTACTGCATCAATTGGAATTAAAAATTATACTTCGTACATTTAACGTCAATTCAGACGAAGGAAATTATATCATTTTATGTCAACGAAAATAGAGCTACGAGAAATCAGATACTCCTGAAACGGTTATTCAAGAAATAAACCACGTAGCAGGTTCTAATGTATTTGAAAAAATCAAATCAAAACGAACCTGGGCCGAGTATTGCTTACCATATCAAATTGATGTACCTAAAGAAAGGGTTGTTGATGGAGAATACGTTTGGTATGACGTTAGATGTAAAATATACAATCATGATGGGTTTCCGAAAAGCGGTTTGGTAAGTAATTTTTTTGTTGTTTTATCCTAAATAATTTTTTTGCATTACCTATTATTTCAAGTAATTAACAACTTTTGTACAATAGCATATCGATTATGTCAAATTATTGCACCATAAAGATGGGAGGGAATACGAAATCGTAGTTGATAATCATGGTGAGGAGAACGAGGAACATGAAGATTCTGATTCTTATTTGGAAATATGTGAATTTTAAATTTCCGTTAAAATTTAATGGATGCATTAAATTTGATTGTATATTCTCTTATCCAACCATATATTGTATGTGTCATATTGATAAGTATAGTGATTTATTTTTATAAAGAATTAACTGATATACAATTCGGGACAAACTTTTTGTCCTCATAATTAATGTGATTTTTATTTTAAAAATAATTCACACATAAATTATACTATCAGAAACACATACCATTACAATATTTTAACATTTATTTGATATAGTTGTTTCTCATCTATTTTGTCAAAAAAGAAGATTTACAATGGTTTTGTCAAATAGCAAAGCATATTTGGAATCCTTTTGTATTTCCGAAACAATAGAATATATAACCCCGAAGAACTTTATTTAAAAAATAGGTATCTCATTAAAAACTATCAAATACAATATCAAAAAATAGGTATCTTATTAAAAACTATCAAATACAATATCAAAAAATAGGAAATGTCAAGCAAAAAAAAAATATAGATGTCTTAAAAAAATAATGTCAAAAGTTTCTAAGGCAAACAGTCAATATATAAGACATGATCACCTTATTTCATTTTAAAAATAACAATAAAATTAGCTGAAGTAGATATACATGTATTTTGTAGAACTGTTTCAAAGTATTTGAATTATTGAAATATATTGTAGTTTTTTTTCAACTAGCCAGATCTTGCACAATATACTTTATTTAGTTTATGTTTGTATTTCTTATTACAAGACTTATTATTTATAAACTATTTTAAATGCATATTATATTATGTTGACACTAGTTGAAATTGATTTATTTGACATAATGCCACTTGTCAATCATTTGTCAAAAAAGTATATAATTTGGCTAATCAAATTTATATAATTTTTATCTTTGGCTATAAAGCAGCATATAATTTATTCGACACATAAATGGTACACTTTTTTTAAACCTCATTTTGAAGAAGTTAATATTTCAATAATAAAATGAATAATTTATTTTTTGTGTCAAATATATATACTGTATATATTTTGACTTTGCCAAATTATATTACTTTGACGAATTATATTATCTTGCCAAATATATATTGCTAAATTATACTACTTTGCTGAATTATATTATCTTGCCATATATATATTTTTGCTGAATTATATTACATTGCCAAATTATATATATTTTGATAAAATTTTATATATTGTATTTGTGATTTAAAGAAATAATAATTAAATATTCACAAAAATCTTATCTATTTGAAATCTTATATTTAAATTGAATAAATCAGCTAAAAATATTGTGAATGGGAATTATATATTTGTATCTAAGCAAATAAAATTCTGTACTTTATAATTTAATATTCATATTATTTTCAGATCCAAAATAGAACCTGATATTTGCCAAATTAACAGGTTTAAACTATACATGTTTCCTTATTACTATAAAAGGAAATTTAATCAACAATATGATTCCAAATCAAATACGATTTCTAATTATTTACTAATTGTTACTTAGTAATATGAACATAATACAGTTTTTAAAAAATATTTGAATTAAATATAAATACATGTATAGTTTAAACCATTGAATAAAAGTCAAATTATGTTTTGCTATATAATTTGATAAGTTGACTGAATAAGTGAAGAAAAATTAAATCTGTTCCAGGTATAAATTAACACTTTCATCATAATTCACAAATTGAGCCAAAACAAATAAACCTTTTATATTTCATAGTAACATAATGAAATCAAAGATTCACTTCTAATTTAACATCTTTCATATTAATTAGCTTTATTTTGAACAATTATTGTATTATTATTAATATCTTTAACAAATGGTCTTTGAAAGTTTATAGTTTTATAATAAGCTTTATAATATTTAACCAATAATCCAAGATTTTGAAAGATACAATTAAATTTAATTTTTCAGAATACAATAGTTTGCCAGGAAATTATTTAAATCTATTGATAATTATCTCTTGAATATTATATATATTATTTAAGAATTGGCATAGTTCATCTACTAAAAATTAATCCAATTCTAAAATTGATCTGATATTTGGTCAATTATTTAAGATTTCGAGTCCTATATTATTATAATAGGATATGGTTAGATTAATAATTCAGTGGTCATTTATCAATCCTTGTATTAGTTCAGGCTTAATATTTTGATGGATATTAGGCAATAATCCTAAATTTAAAATTTGTTAGAATATTATTTTATAAATATTAATTATAAAAAAAACCTACTTAACAAACCATTTAT